CGACAGAAGCGCTGATATTTGCAGAGACATTTCCTGACGACAACTGCTCACTGACTGGTACATTGAAAGTGTGTGTAGTTTAATACAAGCAGTGTTTCCTATGGTTTAGAAGTGTCTCCATTGAAAACATGAATTCTCTTCATCAGCTTGTCAATTAAGGAAAACCAATAGATTTACGAATAGCTCCATAGCTTAATTTTCATATAAAGCTTATATAGCTTTATGTTTATAAGCAAAGTGGGGGCCATGACACTTTTGAAATGTCTTCAACAATATTATGACTACTTTGAAATGTTGTCCACTCATTTGTTGTATTTTTTGTAGCTTCCCTGTAGTATTTATGTTGTCTGTAGGACATGTGTGTATGGGACCAGCTCTTCGTATCCGGTGAGTGTAATCTGACTAGTACATTAGTTTCTCTGTCTGCACAACCTTTTCTGCAAGTAGTGATAGCTGCATTAAGTGAAGCATAGTTGTGGCTTTGGAATTTATATCAACCATACCAAGCACTGCGCTCGCATCATGCCAGACTTTTGGTGGTTCCTTAAGTGTCAAAAAGCACAGTCGAAAGCAGAGCGTTTAGCTACCAAGCCCCTAGATTGTGAAAACAGCCTCCCATCTACGTCAGGCAAACAGACACAGTCTCTACATTCAAGGCCAGGCTTAAAACAGTCCTCTTTAATTTAGCATATGCTTATGCAGGTAAGACACAGGTAAGACTTACACATAGCTGCATAAGGAGTCACTTTGCTGGGAGAAGTATGGTAACTTGAGGACTATCCTCTACTTTTCTACTTTATCTGTCTTCAGTTGTAGTCTATTTATTGCTATTCACCCGCTGTCCCATTGTCTGTTTCATGGCGTGACGATGGGACCCCTGAATCTGGCCTCTTTCATCTGTACCTGTGGTTTTCCCAGCCTGGACTTGTGCCGGGCTGCAACCTCTCCCCGCCTGGGAGCTTCCTCAGTCCTGCTTCCCATAGCCTCGGGTCCTCGTTCTATAGTCTTGAGTGCTGGATCTATAGCCCGTCCGTCTATGGGATCCCTCAGTGTGGGCCTCCTTGAGGTTTCCCACTTTTCTTCCACTGTGTTTTACAAGTTGCAGGTGGATCTAAGGCAGAGGTGCCCCTTATGGACCAATCATTGCATTTTCTGTGTTTGTACGGTTTGATACTGTTTGAAGTCCTCCGAGATAACTACCTTTGGGATTTGGGCTGTACAGAGGTATTGAACTGAAATAAAACTGCAAGACAAATTTATCTACGACTACATAAAATTAAACCTGAACTTGAACCTTAAAAAAACAAAATGCACCTAAGTTGGATATGGTACGTATTTTTTGATTAGCTTGTTTGGAAGTATAGGCCTAAAGAACACACAGGATGAGGTGTTACTTTATACACAAAACTGTATAAATCAAAGGGTCAAAACAAACTTTAAAAAAAAGCAAAACAAATGTAACACATTTTTAAACATACACCGATTGCTCTCTCTTTCATAAAAGAAAAAGCAGCACATGTGTAGTTTTATAACCTTCTTCACCTGATCCAAACGTAAGCAACAGACCAGGGTTTTTGAAAAGTGGGCATGACTGAATTTGGATTTTCTAAAACCGCTCCTTTCCTTTGTTTTCTCTACTGAGTAATGAATACAAATGGCTTGGATATTTAATTGTTTATTTTTTTAATGCATTCATGTTCAAACAAAAGGAGGATTTCATTTCTGGCTGCCCCGCGTTGGCCTAACAGTTTTACTATTACAACAGACAATGCTTTGGCCGGTTTGACTTTCTAGGCATTTGAACGTGACGTGGTGTTTCAAACTTTCCACCGGTCTCTCCTGTTCTGCCAAGAACCTATCAGCACTGGACATGTGCTTAAGCATCTTTACTGTAAGACTTGGCACTTCACTCAATATGGCCGCGATGCAAACCATGCTCATATTCTTCTATCACTTTTTCTATTGCAAGTTCACATCTCCATCGTGATTTGTTCATCTGGTTTGAAGTTTTACATACATTTATTTGACTTTCCAAAACACGCTTATGAACAGTGGTAAAGATTCAGATTCATTTATTGCAGTAAAAAAACCCACATTGGAATACATTAGCAAAAAGTCTCCAGTGTGCACCGACAAATACAGACATAAAACAACATTAAAAGACAAAAATACAGTACGTGCATCTCTGTACTTGCAGGATATGTATTATCTTTGCTATTGATATTCGACAGCTCTGGTGATATTTTTGCCTGTAGTAACATACGCTTACGGTTGCATGTTTGAAATAGAGGTATAAATACCTAAAAAGGTTAAAAAAAAAAAAAAAAAGTGTAGCATTGACTTGCATTCCAATATTTTAACTTTTCTGATCTCTTCACCTGTCTTATCTCAGGTTATGTGGAAAAAATATGTCTCGTAGGAAGGCAGCGTTATACATTTTGGCCCAAATGAAAAACCCAGCTACTTGCTAGATTTATTATAATAAATCACAGGTGTTGTCATTTTGAAAAAGTATTTATAAAAGTTGGCTACAAGACATTTCTTCAAATTTAACAGACAAAATATGTAATGGAGTTCATGTTTTTGTGGAAAAAGTGTATTATGCTGCTCTCGCAACACCAATCTCACATTGACGACCATTTTACAATCAGCGCTGTATGACTTCCTGGACTTCGCTTGATAAGACAGACTAGGGGTCACTATTTGGCAAAAAAAACACATTACTGTAATAATACAAGGTCCAGTCTGAGGGGTATCTGGCATGAAGTTCTCCTCAGTTTTAAACAGTATAATACAGTATGTGCAGTTCACTCGAGGTAGCTGTTCCCCAGTCTGTGATTAACGTGGGAACAGAGGAAGCGGTTCCCGTGTCTTATCTTATCTGTGGACCATTCAAAACCCACTGACTTCGGGCCGTCCCAGGACAGACAGGCACAGTTGTATATAGGAGCTGGCAGCGTCCCATGTAAAGACCAGAGCTGTACATTCTCTTAAAGAACAACATGAACGATGTTGTTAGCCTACGGGGAACAGGCGAGTCTTGGCAAACAACCAGGTTTGAGACTTTTAATAAAGCTGACTGTCTACATGACATATTAGTTCACTTGGCTGCAATAACCTGTGTGCACTGTGGACCATTTTCTCGTTTATTGGGGAATCCATTATTTGGGAAAGGTGAAGCTTTGTCTGGCCAGAACCAAGCAGGACATAACGAAATAATGAAAAAATCCCCACAACCTTTTTGGGTATTGTTTTGGAAGATTTAGGATCAGTTTTTCAATGCCTATGGCTTTCCCCATATAGTACAGTATGTGTTTTTTATCTATCATTGTCACTTACACACATCGCTATACACATTTTCACAGCCACATCCATAATGCTGTATTTACTGGAGTAGAATGTGTGTGTTATAAGGATAGTCTGATGGAAATTAAAATCAATATATTTCTGTAGCCCTAATTCACAGCCATAGCCATCTTGATGTCACGCCCCCAATTTGTTACAAGTCTTCTCTGCCTCTTCAGACAGACTCTGACGTCTGATCACGCTCCTGGGCTACAACAAGTGGCAGCCATTCCTCAACTCCTCCCAGGAAGTGCGTAATAAACTCTCCATTTTTTGCACTTCTGTTTGAGTCTGATTTGTGGGTCCTAATTGCCAAGCCATAACACTCAAAGGCCTTTACAAAGTTGTCGATCCGCCCTGACAGATCAGAGAATCAAACAGAAAAAATGCAATAATGATAAACCCATCCACCCTTCATGGAGCCATTGGTCTAGAAAGGGTCTATAAATGTCCTTTAATGTTTGTAGTCTTCTTTAAACAAAATATCTTACTTTTAAAGCATATTAGAGCATATACAAATAAATAAACTCTATAAGTGCTTTTTCTTACCCTGTGTAGGAAAAGCGCACTATAAATGAAGATTGATTGATTGAATGTTTTTTCTTGAAAGTGCACAATGTAATTCCTTTTGACCACCAAGCATAATTTTTCCCTTTTCCCACAGGCCTATTTTACATAGGCCTCTGTGTTCATGATGTTTATTTTTGTTTTTGGAACCGACTTGTATGTGTGTTATTTATCTTTATATGTTTTTAATCTGTAAAGTGCTTTGGGATTTTGGTCTTTGAAAGGAGGTTTACAAATAAACATATTTACTTACTTACTAACCCCACCTGTTTCTCCTCTATTTGTGCTAATTCATGTGTAACTTCCTTCAGGGACCCCCAAAATACCTGCAAAAGTAGTTGTCTCAAAGGACTAAATGAAAGTTTGTTTTGTTTTATGTCCAGCAATTGTGTGTGTTTATCTGTTGTGATTATCTAAATTGTATTTGAATATTCAGAAACACCATGAAAAGCTTTTAGAGTTTATCTTGAAATCATCTTGAGCCACCGCCCCCCTTGCAACTGTGTTCCGCATTTTTGAAGTCAAGTCAAAGTAACTGTTTCCTCTATTAGGCTGTTTTGGATGACAACTGCAGTGATGTGCGTGTGTGTGTGTGTGTGTGTGCGCGTGTGTGTTTATACAGTAAATAATCAAATATCCACGTCTTATAACGACCAACACTACCCTTTTGCACATGCACTGAACGCCTCCTTTAAGAAATGATTGAAAAAGTTTTTTTCTGGAATTTTTCTTTTGCCAAAAACTTCACATTTGAACTTTTCAGAGAACAAAATGATCTGCTGAGTTTTGAGCAGAGTCCAGTGTCCTCACATGAACTCAGGGAGAGCAGACAAGACTCGGTGGTGACGGCGGAGAGAGCACGCCGCTGTCCAAACCGCAGCAGGTGGCCAGGGTGGAACTGTCCCCAGATCAG